AGAAGTAATATAATGATTTGAAGTTGCAGTAAGGTACTGAAAATGCATTCATGTGTGGCCATTCCCTTATTACAAGGGTTTGGTCTCAGACTGGTAAAAAAGTGAGTGGTAACATGTAGTGATGACCCTAACACACCTCTGTTCGGTTCGTGGTCAAACATTTGAACTTAATGAAAGTTCAACCACAAACTTCGCACAGAGGGGACAATTCACTAAGTGGAATCTTACAGCTGTTTCACTTTGACTGACAATTGCGTGGTCATGCAACACTGTACCCATATGAAATTTTTTATCATTTTTCTTCACACAAATAGATATTTATTTTGGTGGTATTTAATCATCACTGGGGTTTTCATTTTTTTGCACTATAAACAAAAAAATAAAACATTTGAAAAAAAAAAAGGTTTCTTTGTTTCTATTATAAAATTTTGCAAACAGGTAATTTTTCTCCTTCACTAATGTGCGTTGATGAGGCTGCACTGATAGGAAGCACTGATGTTCACTGATAGGCAGCACTCATGGACACTGAAGAGGAAACACTGATAGGTAGCACTGATAGGCTGCATTGATGAGGTTGCACTGGTGGACATTGATGAGGAGGCCCTAATGATGCACTGATATGCAGCACTGATGTGCACTGACAGGCGGTGCTGATGGTCACTGATGGGCAGCACTAACTGGCGGCACTGACTGATAGCACTGACTGGAGGCACTGACAGATGGTACTGACTGGCGGCACTGACAGGCAGCACTGCTGGGCACTGACGGGTGGCATTGCTGGGACTTGATGAGTGGCATTGCTGGGCAGCACTGATGGTGGCACTGCTGGGAACTGATGGGTGACACTGATGGACACTGATGGGTGACACTGCTGGGCACTGATGGGTGACACTGCTGGGCGACACTGATAATCAGTGCAGATCTCCTCTGTCACATTTGCTGGTTATTGGCAGTACTTTCCTCACGCTGTAACCGGCAACTGTATTTATTTTGTGATCTGCTGTGTCATTGGACACAGCGATCACCGACAATGCCGGGGGAAGGGGCGCAGGGGGTGCATTCTGGGAGGACGTCTATGGAACTGGACAACCGCGCTGCAGCTGTCTTTCGGCTATAGCACGGTTAGCAAGCGGTTAAAAACATTGAACTGCAATTTCCACTTCTTTGACCAATTTTCCAGCAATGCCAAATCATGTTACAGACACCTCCAGGGAAATCAACCCTATTGCATACCTGTCATCAGCAAAAAAACATGCCTTACTCAACAAACCTTTAGTTAAATCATTTCCATATAGATTAGAACAGGACCTAGTAGAAAGCCTTGTGGTACACCACTAATGACCGGTCTCTTTTCTGAGTGAACCCCATTTACAACCACGCTCTGGTATCTATCCTTTAGCCAGCTGCATGTCCACTGAACCACCCAAGGGCTATGTCCTAGCTTGTGCAACTTTTACATTGAATTATTATGTGGAACTGTATCAAATGCCTTGCTGGAATCAGGATATGCTATGTCCACAGCACCACCCTGGTCCAAAACATTGTTGACTGTTTTTCCGCCACCTTATAGCAGAAATACTGCTACAGGGTGGCAGGGGTGCGCAAAATCGCATATATATACATGATTTTGCAGTTCCGGGTAGGGGGCGCGCACGCGAGCCACATGTGTGCCGCTATTCGCGACCTCGGCTTTCAATCACTGGATCCCAGACAGTGATTAGTGGCCGACACCCGGTATTACCAACAGGGGAAGGAAACTGTATGTAAACAATACAGTTCTCTCCCCTGTCAGCTCCAGCACACTGCTTTGTATGGCTGTATATATACATACATATATATTGTACATTCACATCTCTCCCTAAGCCTCAAGGGGTGTACAATCTAAGGTCTCTAACTTACATTCATACATACTAGTCAGGAGCCAATTAATCTACCAGCATGTCTTTGGAGTGTGGGAGGAAACCGGAGTACCCAGAGCAGGGGCAGACTGACAACCCATGGGGCCCCCGGGCAATAGGGGATCATGGGGCCCCTGTGTCCTTGCCCAAACTCAAAAAAGCCTATGAAAAAGGTACCAGGGGCATCTCATGGGGCCCCCTACTGACCCTGGGCCCTCAGGCAGTGCCTGAGTTTCCAAATGGGCAGTCCGCCCCTGACCTGGAGGAAACCCACGCAGGCACAGGGAGAACATGCAAACTCCAGGTAGGTGGTGCTGTGGTTGAGATTCGAACCCTGGCAGTCTGCATTGTTTACATAAAGTTCTCTCCCTCTGTCAGTAATGCTTGGCAATCACCGAGTGCCAGTGAGTAATCACCATCTGGGACACGGTGATTGACAGCCAAACCACGAATAGCGGCGCGGGTAGGGCTCGCGCGCACCCCCTACCCAGAAATGCAAAATCACATATATACAGTTGCAAGAAAAAGTATGTGAACCCCTTGGGATTACGTGGAGTTTTGCATGAATTGGGCATAAAATGTGCTCTGAACGTCATCTAAGTCACAACAATAGGAGAACACAGTCTGCTGAACATAATACTACACAAATATTAGATGTTGCCATGGTTTAATTGCACATAACAAATAAACATTCACAGTGCAGGGAGGAAAAAGTATGTGAACCTTTGGACTTAATAACTGGTTGACCCTCCTTTGGCAGCAATAACCTCAACCAAACGTTTCCTGTAGTTGCAGATCAGACCTGCACAACGATCTGGAGTCATTTTGGACCACTCCTCTTCATAAAACTGTTTCAGTGTAGCAATATTCTTGGGATGTCTGGTGTGAATCGCTCTCTTAAGGTCATGCCACAGCATTTCAATCGGGTTGAGGTCAGGACTCTGACTGGGCCACTCCAGAAGGCGTATTCTGTGCTGTTGCAGCCATTGTTTTGTTGAATTACTTGTATGCTTTGGGTCATTGTCCTGTTGCATCATCCATCCTCTGCGGAACTTCAGTTGGCGGACAGATGGTCGTACGTTTTCCTGCAAAATGTCTTGATAAACTCTGGAATTCATTTTCCCATCAATGACAACAATCCGTCCAGGCCCTGAGGCAGCAAAGCAGCCCCAAACCATGATGCTCCCTCCGCCATGTTTTACAGTGGGGATGAGGTTTTGATGTTGGTGTGCTGTGCCTTTTTTTTCTCCACACATAGTGTTGTGTGTTCTTCCCAAACAACTCAATCTTGGTTTCATCTGTCCACAGTATATTTTGTCAGTAGTGCTGTGGAACATCCAGGTGCTCTTTTGCAAACTTCAAGCATGCTGCAATATTCTTTTTGGACAGCAATGGCTTCCTCCGTGGTGTCCTCCCATGTACTCCATTCTTGTTTAATGTTTTCCTTATTGTAGATGTGTCAACAAAAATGTTAGCATGTGCCAGAGATTTCTGTAGGTCTTTAGCTGACACTCTGGGATTCTACTTTACCTCATGCAGCATTCTGCGCTGTGCTCTTGCAGTCATTTTTACAGGATGACCACGCCTAGGGAGAGTAGCAACAGTGCTAAACTTTCTCCATTTGTAGACAGTCTGTCTTACCGTGGACACATGAACATCAAGGCTTTTGGAGATACTTTTGTAACCCTTTCCAGCTTCATGCAAGTCAACAATTCTTGATTGTAGGTCTTCTGAGAGCTCTTTTCTGCGAGGCATGGTTCACATCAGACAGTGCTTCTTGAAACCAGTAAACCCAAAACAGGTGTGTGTGTTTTTTAAGGGCAGGACAGCTGTCAGCAACACATCCAATATCATCACACTGATTGGAGTCAAGGTTGGCTCACTCCTGGCTCCAATTAGCTCTGGGAGAAGTCATTAAGCTAGGGCTTCACATACTTTTTCCTCCCTGCACTGTGAATGTTTACATGTTATGTGCAATTAAACCATGGCAACATCTAATGTTTGTGTAGTATTATGTTCAGCAGCCTGTGTTCTTCTATTGTTGTGACTTAGATGACGTTCAGAGCACATTTTATGCCCAATTCATGCAAAACTCCACATAATCCCAAGGGGTTCACATACTTTTTCTTGCAACTGTATATATATATGTATATAGATTTATATATATATATAAATCTATATACACGTGATTTTGTGCACCCCTGCCTCCCTGTAGCAGTATATCTGCTATAGGGCGGACGGGAAAGCAGTTAAACTACAATGAGACATTTTTTACAGACAGAAAGGAAAATTTGGAAATGTATGAAAACGATGAAAGTGGTAAACCCGGCATGGGCAGCGCTCGTGCGCACCCCCTGCCTGGAAATGCGAAATCACGTATATATACATGAGATTTTGCGCTCCCCTGCCTCCCTGTAGCAGTATATCTGCTATAGGGAGGACGGGAAAACAGTTAAACTACAATGAGACATTTTTTACAGGCAGAAGGGAAAAATTGGAAATGTATGAAAACGATGAAAGTGATAAACCCGGCGCGGGTAGGGCGTGCGCGCACCCCCTACCTAGAAATGCAAAACCACTTATATATACACACGTGATTTTGCGCACCCCTGCCTCCCTGTAACAATATACCTGCTATAGGGCGGACGGGAAAGCGTTTAAACTACAATGAGACATTTTTTACAGGCAGAAAGGGAAAATTGGAAATGTATGAAAACAATGAAAGTGGTAAACCCGGCACGGGTAGGGCTCGTGTGCACCACCTACCTAGAAATGCAAAACCACTTATATATACACACGTGATTTTGCGCACCCCTGCCTCCCTGTAACAGTATACCTGCTATAGGGCGGACGGGAAAGTGGTTACACTACAATGAGACATTTTTTACAGGCAGAAGGGAAAAATTGGAAATGTATGAAAACGATGAAAGTGGAAAACCCTGGAGTGTTTTTTAATGTGAATGTATCTATGAAATAATACTGAGCGTCATATTTACACTTTCGGTGGCAATCAAACGCCTCATGTTGCTCTTCTTCACCTACAATAGATATAAAGACTGTGTCACTTAACCTCCTTAACAACTTCTAATCTTTTTTCCTCAGGTCTGTGTGGGAGTTGAAAAGCCAGATTCTGAAGGCCTCATTAGAGTGTCCAGTGGAAAGAAAAGAGGCTTGGTGCCTCAGGACTGTCTGGTGGAGATCTGAGTGGGCGTTCATTGCTCTGGCACAGAAATTGCTGCTCCCTGACTGAGCTCACAAACTCCGTGTAATAAGCAATAAGACATCCAGGGCGCTCTAATAAAACTGTGTGGGAGGATAACATTGGGATAACCCACCTCCTGCCTTGACAACTCTGGCAGAACCTTCACATGCTGCATCCGGCCTCTTCCACAATGTACATAGATGATGTATATAAAGGCGTACTTTGCAATATGTCCACACTAGGTGTCTGTGACATCATCAATCAGGGCCATCTCTTCAGGGAAAGTCACTCAGTGACCCCATGACAGGGCTTTGATGTCATCAGTTATGGACCTCAATGATCCTAACCCTGCCTTACGTGTGGCTTGCCGCTGCAGCAGCAGGACCCCTCGGCACAAGGCGACTCAGGAGTTAGGTTCCAGTCACAATCACCTTTGGCTGCGTCACCTCCTCTTTTTACAAATTACGCAAGAGAAATACATCAATATTTATATACCTCTTTAGATGAAGAGTCACGTGTAAAGTAAGCAAAGAGTGCAGATTCCACAGAAGATTTGTTGCCAGTAGGGCTTTTAATGACACACTGACTACATTTTTAATGGAAGAGATATGAAATATTCATTTTGGCATGTCTTTCACTAAACCTGTGATCTTATACCTTCAGAAGATAAACAAGCAGAGAGCAGCATGTAATCCAAGCAAAGCGCAGGGTGTTGCAGCATGGCTGGATGTTTACAATCTCCCAGGTGTCCCTTTTTGTCAGGACAGTTATGATTTTTAGGACAGTTATCACAACAGTCATTATTTTTAAGACAGTTGTCAGGACAGTCATGATTTTTTAGGACAGTCATGATTTTTCATGACAGTTGCCAGGACAGTTATGATTTTTAGGACAGTTGTCAGGACAGTCATGATGTTTTAAGACAGTTGTCACAACAGTCAATATTTTTAGAACAATTGTCAGGACAGTCATGATGTTTTAGGACTGTCATTATTTTTCAGGACAGTTGCCAGGGCAGTCATTATTTTTCAGGACAGTTGCCAGGGACAGTCATGATTTTTCAGGGCAGTTGTCAGGACAGTCATGATTTTTCAGGAAGTTGTCAGGACAGGCATGAATTTTAAGACAGTTATCACAAAAGTCATGATTTTAAGGACAGTTGCCAGGACAGTCATGATTTTTAGGACAGTTGTCAGTGCAATCATGATTTTTTTTTAGGACAGTCAAGATTTTTCAGGACAGTTGTCAGGACAGTCATGAATTTTAGGACAGTTGTCAGGACAGTCATGATTTTTCAGGACAGTCATGATTTATAAGACAGTTGTCAGGAAAGTCATGATTTTTCAGGACGTTGTCAGGACAGTCATGTTTTTTTCAGGACGTTTTTAGGACAGTCATGTTTTTTCATGATAGTTGCTAGGACAGTCATGATTTTTCAGGAGAGCTGTCAGGACAGTTATGATTTTTAGGACAGTTGTCAGGACAGTCATGACTTTTCAGAACAGTTGTCACGACGGTCATGATTTTTAGGACAGTTGACAGTACAGTCATGATTTTTCAGGACAGCTGTCAGGACAGTCATGATGTTTTAGGACAGTTGTCACAACAGTCAAGATTTTTAGGACAGTTGTCAGGACAGTCATGATTTTCAGGACAGTTGCCAGGGCAGTCATGATTTTCAGGACAGTTGCCAGGGCAGTCATGATTTTCAGGACAGTTGCCAGGGCAGTCATGATTTTTTAGGACAGCGGTCAGGACAGTCATGATTTTTCAGGAAGGTTGTCAGGACAGTCATGATTTTTAGGACAGTTGCCAGGATAGTCATGATTTTTCAGGACGGTTGTCAGGACAGTCATTATTTTTCAGGACAGTTGTCAGGACAGTCATGATGTTTTAGGACATTCATGATTTTTCAGGACAGTTGTCAGGACAGTCATGATTTTTCAGGACAGATGCCAGGACAGTCATAATGTTTTAGAACAGTTGTCATAACAGTCAAGATTTTTTAGGACAGTTGTCAGGAAACTCATGACGTTTTAGGACAGTCATGATTTTTCAGGACAGTTGTCACAACAGTCATTATTTTTAGGACAGTTGTCAGGACAGTCACGATTTTTTAGGACAGTCGTGATTTTTAGTTAAATCAGTTTACTCAATGATAGAAAGAAAGAATGTTCTGACAAATGATGTTTTAGAATGTCCATACAAATGTTTGATGAAAATCTAACTGTGTAAGACTCTAATGCCTGATACACTTGGTGAGAAAGTCAGATGAAAAACCCACATTCAGAGCAATTGTTCAACAATCTAATAGTTAGTACACAGCTTTTGAGAGCTGATCATAACAGTCCATGCGATAATATCCGATGGGACAATCATGCAAATGTTTCTCATATGATACCAGAACAAATCAATCAATCAGTATAGTATTTGTCCATAAAAAATGAAGTGACCAAGACAGTGCATGATAGGAAACAAGAGAACAATCAAAAGGAGAAATGGCAATGAAAACAATCTTCATATGCAACAAAAATGTTCCTAAACACGAAAAAAAAACATTGTTTTCAGGATTTTAATGTGTATTAGCAATAATGGAGTGATACTCGTATTGCTACATTTTTGCTTTTTATCTGTAGATATCTTCTTATAAAGATATATAGCCTGTATATACCCTGTAAATGTTCTACGCCATGACACTTTGAATGGGTATAGCCAAAAGCATGGTCATGCATATATTACATCACTTCTGATTACACGCTGGTACGTAGCTACGCACACAGGAAGATGTACTGGGTCCTATGAGAATTCTCCTATGCTTAGTAGCACTCTCATGTTTGATATGAGGTTAGCATGCAGAAAAACACGAATGGACCATTCGTTCGATTTTCTTTTCATGTGTACCAGGCATAGGGCTTCAGCAGTCGCTGCATAAATAAAGGAGAATGGTTTTCCTCACGATATAAGGGGAAAAAGGGATATTGCTCACAAAGAACAGTTGGGTGAGACTCTTGCAAAGTCATCAGGTTGTATATATTTACACTCACAGGCAGGGGCGGACTGACAACTCATGGGGCCCCCGGGCAATAGGGGATCATGGGGCCCCTGTGTCCTTGCCCAAACTCAAAAAAGCCTATGAAAAAGGTACCAGGGGCATCTTATGGGCCCCCTACTGACTCTGGGACCTCGGGCAGTGCCTGAGTTTCCAAATGGTCAGTCCGCCACTGCTCACCGGCCACTTTATTAGGTAAACCTGTTCAATTGCTTGGTAACATAAATTGCTAATCAGCCAATCACATGGCAGCAACTCAATGCATATAGGCAATTAGAAGTGGTGAACACGACTTGCTGAAGTTCAAACCAAGCACCAGAATGGGGAAGAAAGGGGATTTAAGTGACTTTGAACGTGGCATGGTTGTTGGTGCCAAACGGGCTGGTCTGAGTATTTCAAAAACTGCTGATCTACTGGGATTTTCACGCATAACCATCTTTAGGGTTTACAGAGAGTGGTCCAAAAAAGAGAAAATATCCAGTGAGCTGCAATTGTGTAGATGAAAATGCCTTGCTGATGTCAGAGGTCAGAAGAGAATGGGCAGACTGGTGCGAGATGATAGAAAGGCAACAGTAACTCAACCACTCATTACAACCAACATATGCAGAATACCATCTCAGATACCATATCAGAATGCACAACACATCGAACCTTGAAGCAGATGGGCTACAGCAGCAGAATACCACATCCGGTGACACTCCTGTCAGCTAAGAACAGGAAACAGAGGCTACAATTCGCACAGGCTCACCAAAACTTGAAAATAGAAGGTTGGAAAAACATTGCCTGGTCTGATGAGTCTTCATTTGAGCTGTGACATTCATATGGTAGGTGTAAGCAACATGAAAGCATGGATCCATCCTGCCTTGTATCAACGGTTCATGGATGTGCAGCCAACAAATCTGCAGCAACTGCTTGATGCTATCATGTCAATATGGACCCAAATCAATGAGGAATGTTTCCAACACCTTGTTGAGTCTATGCCACAAAGCAAAAGGGGGTCCAACCCAATACTAGCAAGGTGGACCTAATAAAGTGGCCGGTGAGTGTATATACAGTGGATGGAAGGTTTCAGACCTATAAAATAATAGCAAAACAGTGGCCTCACTTTAGTTAGTTAGGGCCTTCTCTAGTGATTCGAAATCCAAACATGTAAAAATCTTTCAGACTACACCTGGCTCAGGGTCAAAATTTGGTCCTTGAGCTTCTTTGCCGCAACAAACACGTATAGGGCAGCCCAGTTGCGCTGAAAAAAATTGCAAATGGGAACGCGGATTCCCGCTACACGGAAGGTGAACGCGGCCTAAGCTGGGAGCAGTAGTATTGGAAGTGTAGCATCCTGTATAGAAACTAATGTTTACAAAGAAATCTGCACCTTTTTTTTTGGAAAGCTTTACATTGCCTATGTAGATAGCAACATGTAATAGTGTGTGTTATACGAGAAACAGTGAATTTGCACCAGAAGCACTGGTTTTCTAAAAAGATAATTAATGTAGGGAACACTTTCATGTTTTTTTTTTGGAAACCTGCTTAAGGAGATCCTGTCACCAGGCCATTTATTACAACATCAATCTTCCCATAAGATGATATTTAATGTATTTTATGCATGTTCTATCCGCAAAAGCTGCCAATGTGTAGGACCTTAGACTGCTGTAGAGTGCCGCCATCTTTTTTGCGATGTAAGCAGTCCCAGTACACAGAACTGTCACTCAACTATATAGTGTTCCCCAAGCTACTCCCCCTGGCAGCTACATAAAAAAAGTTGTATGTGTGTCCAGTAAAGGAGCTAGGTCACATAGACAGTACCTATATGGAAGAAAAAATATATTTGAAATATATTTTAAAAATATTCTTCCAAAAATATATTGCCATATATTTGAAATGCTACAATTTTGGCCATATCCAATATATTTTGATATGTAAATATATATATATATATATATATATAGGATGTTT